CATCATGTACCAAGTTTTATTGAAATGTGATGATTAGTACTTGAGATATCAGTGGAAAAGCCGAAAATTGATTAATCATTATGCAAATTAGGTAATTAATATTGCACAGATTTTTACCCAAAACTAATCAAATCTGCGCATTAGTTTGGAGCATCTGTGTGCCAAGTTTCATCAAAATCCAATGAGTGGTTCTTTAGATATCAGTGGAACAGTCATGAAACAGCTAAAAATCAGCTAATTATCATGCAAATTAGGTAATTAATATGCATGGATTTTTACCAAAACCTAATCAAATCTGCGCATTGGCCCAGAGCATCTATGCACCAAGTTTCATCAAAAACTGATGTATGGTTCTGATATCAGTGGAACAGACGGACACACATACACACACACACACACACACATACACACATACACACATACAGACACACTAACTGCAAAGACTCCCTTTTTGTGCTTCGCACACGGGAGTCAAAAACAAGATTGGCTGTCAGTTGGCCATTTTGAAATTAATCAGTAAACCATTGCTTGTACATATGTCCCAGATAAAGCACTAGGCACATATAACGAATGAACAGATTTGGTCCACGCCAGACGGACAGGGACCGAATCATACTTTGTTTAAACAGGGACTAATAACAAGTATGTCATGGGGAAACTTCCATTGGAAAGAAAAAACAACTACACTTTGGCATACATGTAATTAGGATTTATTGTCTGTCAAACAGCTTCTTCTTTCTTTTGTGTTTTTGACGTTAAAGCGCGGTGGTCGTCGCGTGTTCAAATTTCATGTAAATAAACAATGTATTTCACACACGTTGTATACGTCGCTAAAAGTCCCATATTGAACAGGACGCGGCACGACGACTGCCGCCCTTTAACGTTTACTTATAATAAGTTATGCAACATTGTGATGATTTGAGGCTGTGACATTGAGTCATTTGCATAATGACCCATTCTATGAAACATCTTGTGAGAACTTGGGCTCAGTTCCAATTCCTCACTCTACTCTGTAAAATCTGTATTAAGAGCCACAACTTCTATTAAAATGGTACTGAGGGGATGCAGCTTCTATTAAAGCATCTACACACATGACAAACAATGATTTTTTGGTTCTCAAATGCTCAAAAAGAATGGGTGTGACTTCTATTAGGGATGTTGCTTCTAATACAAATTTTACGGTAGCTCACAATCCTCGTGCCCAGCAAATCACTGGTAATCACACTCTTTTGCAGTCAGTTTTCAAAGTAAACCTTTTAGGTTTACACATTATGTTTGCCTAATAATAAAGGTCCAGTAATTACACCCCCGGTCCTTCCCCAATCAACTAACCAGCCAGCCGAACAATTGACCAACCAATCGACAGATTGAATTACAGACACAGCTGCCACAATTAAAACAAACAATCAAGCACACAGTTAAAAACAAATGATGCATTTCACAGTACATCATTACTGTGCATACATTTTACTTACATAATGATTGGTTCTCAATCATAGATGCTACTAACTGTTCTTGTAAATTAGATAACTGAGATTCGTAGATTTCTCTTTCCGATGTGGTCCAATCTTTGTGAGTGCCATCATCATTTAAGGAATCAGTCAACTCTGCAAGCTTACTCAGGTACAGCTCCTGAAATAACCATTATTAAATAAAAGAAAATATTACATGTACATGCTATCAGTGATATTAAATACATTTACCATATTTATCAGAAACATCAGCTTTTTTGCTTAGCAGGTCATATTTTGCAAGTTCACAGAAACCAGAACATCGTCCAGGGCAATGTTTTAGTACCTTTGTTATATATTGAAGGTACAAAAAAAGAAAAAAAAACTGTTGATCAAACAATGCTGAGAAAAAACGTGTCAAATCAACTGTTTTTTTCATGTTCATGCGTAGCATCAACACAGATCAGCTTTTTCATTGTTTGATCAAGAATTTTTACCAAAAGATCACCAAGGTGCTGAAACATTTCCCATGAAAAATCTTTTGACCAATGTTTCTTATAAATATAGTACTGGTAATATCAAAATGTTTCATGAATGTATATCACTGGACAGTAGAATGGACGCAAGTGAATATAAGCCAACAATTAGGCTAAATCAGTATTCTATAATTATTAAAAAAATATGTGAATAAAACAAATATTGTAATCAAAAATTTGTGAAAAAGTTATTTATACCTAAGGTATAGGTGGTTACAGTAATACCCACGCCATCATGTATACAAGTAGTTCTTAGAATCCTAGTATTATTTTTATTACCGGTATGATGCAATCAGAAGAATTCTAATCTGCACTATAAACCAGAATATGAACTATAAAATATGTATGAATTTCTAATTAATACAATTAAGTAATTATTAAAAAATTTTAAATATAAATTTCATTGTGCAATCAAAGAAAGCTTAGAAAGAACTCCCATGTGCTGAGAGTATTGGAGACACATTAAATATAATTCGAAATTACTTAGCTGAAAACTAATTATGCAAATCAGAAAATTAATATGACCAGATTTGAGTGTAAAACTAATGAGGTCTGCGCAATGTAACAGAAAATCTATGTCTCCAAGTTTAATTGAAATGTGATTAGAACCAAAAAATTATGAATTATTATGCTTATTAGGGAATTAATATGAACAGATTTTTACCCCAAACTAATTAGGTTTGTACATTGTCCTAGAGCATCTTTGTACTAAGTTTCATTGAAATGGAATAATTAGTACCGTAAAACTCCAAAATTTCGACCCCTCTAAAAATTCGCCCACCTAATTATTTGCCGGGTTTCGGTGTTTTATTTACCTCCAAATTTTCGACTCCACTGAAAATTGCCGACTCATTCTTATTCGAAAATTGCGACCAGTTTTAGTTTTCCCCCAAACGAAAAAAAACCCCGATGTGAGCGTTCAAACGGGATCTTCCGTATGAATCCGGGTTTCTGATTGACTGAGAGATTTTTATTTTATTGGTAACGAAAATATATTCTAAATAAACGAAGTTTCAAATAAAAACGAACACAAAAATCTCGGCATGCTGCGTTTCTGAATTGTTGATTATTACCGTACTCAGTAGTGATTATAATAATGTAAACAAAATAAATTTGTTGAATGGTTATGAAATACAAATAAAAGTCAACTTAGTTTCATCGTAAGCGAATGATTCCGGTCTTGTATAAAGGTCTCATGCCACTAATTAACTCCCAGGGTTTAAATTTTGGGGATTTTTTTTGCACGGGAAATTACTCGTCTAATGATATTCCATCATATATAAGATCAACAAGAACTTTATTAAACCTTCTTATTTCTCTTAAGGTCTCATGCCACTAATTAACCAATGGCTGCTCGTAGCCCTCAATTTAAATGCCCAGCAAGAACCAATGAAATTTTTTAAATATTATTTTTCTCAGGTGCTCCCTGTTTGAGGGCGTAATCACCTGGGTCAGAGGTGAGACCAACATGTGGTCTTTTGTTTACTACTTAGCAGCTGTGTACCTGTGGGTTTATTCTGTGTGTTAATGGATGTTCTAATCTTGGTGTTTTTCCAGTGATTTCTCTTGGTGCAATCCAAATGCAGTAGGTGTGTCTTGTTTACCTGAGATTTGCAAGAGTTTGAGCTGGCCAACATGTTAGTTTTTTTCATATGGTTGATTACTGGCATGTTGATTTCCCATTTTTGAGCCATATTTTCACTTTCTTCGTCATTTTCATATAGCAATCTCGTCATATGTTAACATTGTCGTCTATGGAAATTCAATTAGTGGTATGAGCCCTAAAC